AAAATATAGTTTATTTATACAGTAAATTAGAAAAAGAGAGAAAAAGAGGAGAGTCACTTCCCCAAGCTAGGGGAAGGGACCAAAGCTCACGAAAACATAGCCTGATCATAGCTCAGAGAGCACATATCCACACCATACCTTAGCAAGGCAATGACTGCCTGTCTTTGAAAATGGCCATTCTAATGGGAGTGAGGTGATATCTCTTTATACTTTTGATGCGTATTTCTCTAATCATTAATGGTCTAAGCATCTTTTCATATGCTCATTGGCATAACTTCTTTGAAGAGATTTGTGTTCTTTGCCTATTTTAAAGCAGGGTATTTGCTGTTTTGTTGTTGTTGTAATATAGGAGTTATTCTTGCATGTTTAAACTTCAGTCACCTTCAAAGTACTCTGGTGTTATACGCCTATCAAGATGATTTTTCCAGTGCTCCAGATAGTTTTTGAACTCATCAATGTTGATGCCATTTAGTGCTTCTGCTAATTTTTGTTTCGCCTCTTCCACATAAGAAAAATGTTTCCCTTTGAGGACTTTTTCATCCTGGCACATAACATCTCTAAGGGTACCTGATCCTAAACCACGTGAGGTGAGGACCAGTGGGAGGCCCAAACTTCACCTGTACATAGACCACTTATGTACCTCATCCTGACTTGTACCCCACATTTTTAAAGGTTTTTAACTTTTAAATTTTTTATCTTAAAATTGTGGGGTACAATTCAGGATTAGGTATACAAATATTCATTGTGCAGGTACCATTGTTGATGAGGTGTGCCCCTAACCCACATTTTAAAAATAAAGGGGAAAAGAAAAAAGCTGCTCGGGTTGAGATCAGGTGAATAGGGAGGATAAGGCACAGAGTATTGCCAGTTTTTAGTCAAAAACTGCTGAACACTCAGCATGGTGTGGGCAGGTGCTTGGTCATGGTGGAGGGACCAGTCACCTGTTTGCCACAACTCAGGAGGTTTCTTCCAAAATGCAGCCTCTCACAACAATGCTAGCTGGCACACTGATACCAACAGGTTCCTGGAACACTTACTTAGTGGGGGAAGCCTGTACTACAGGGGTTCCCACCAAAGAAAAGATAATTTCGGGGTTTTTGGGTTCCCCTTCATATGCTTTACAAATATTCTCTGCATTCAGTAGGGGAATAGAGCATGGACATTTTGGTAGCCATCATGCTTCCTATCAAGGGATATAATGTTAGTGATGTTTGAGCAAAATCACAAAGGAGGTTCAGAGCCTGACACTGGATTGTGGGATGGAAGAGACTTCTAGGCAGAGGGAAGAGCAGGGACAGCGCTCAGACACAGGAAACTGACCAGCGAGAGGGGGAGAAATGGGGAAGCTTATGATTTAGACAGAGGGAGACAGGGCCAACAAACAGGAAGTGAGTTTGGAGAAGTTGAGCTTGTATGTAAATCATGTCTGACCACACAGACCACCATAAGCGTTTGGTGTTTTGAGCAGAAGAATCGACTCAACTTTCACTTTCACAGGATCCTCTGATAGCTGTGTACAGAGTAGGGTGGCAGAGAAGGGCAGTAGCAGAGGAGTTAAAGAGGAGGCTGATGAGCATTCCAGGCAGTAGGTGATGCTGGCTGGAACCAGGAGGCAGCAGTGATGGGCATGACTGGCTTGGGGGGAGGGGAGGGAATGGATTGGGAGTGAGTGTGAATGACCGAGAGGGGGGTAGGATAACTCCTAGATGTCTGCCCTAAGCAGTGGCAAGATATTGTTAGGTGGAAATGTTAGGCTGGTGCCAGGAAGTAGCAAAGATTTGTACAAGAATCAAGCAAGCAAAAAAGTTTACTCACTTTCCAGGAGAGGAAAGGTACACAACACTAAGAGAAGCATTGGCACCCGAATGCTTGAAGCTGGGGGATTATATGACTTTTTTTTCAGGAAGTTGGAAATGGGAGTTGATTGTTTTGCAAAGAGCTTTCCAGTAGAACATGACGGTGGGGTGTTGTTGTTGCCATGGTGATTAGCTGCTCAGGATGCCTAAGTTTCAGGTCATTGATCATGTAGATAGGGAGACTGGACAAGAGTCTGTAAGACAAATTCTTAAAACACCTACATTGACTTTCCTTTCACTTGGGAAACCAAAGGTATAATGAAACTTAGCTGGGGGTGTGGTATCATTCTTGGCTCTAAATGTTCTTAAAACAGGATAGGTTATTTTTGTTAAGATGAGCAACCTGTGGCCATAAGATAATCAGTCGAATGCTTGGGAAAGTTGAGCCACAGTTATATCAGGAAAAATTGAGGCAAGTTTCTGTTAGGTTTGTTTTAGGATGACTAAAGTAACTCCATTTTGCTTCTGCCCTTTCATCGAAGCTGAAAAGAGATTTAGGGAGAAAAGGAGACGTTCATCTTGAATAGTCCAAGTTTATTTTATTTTTCTTTCCATGAAAGTGAAGTGGTATATGAATAGGTTGAATTTGTTGTGCATTTGTACAAGAGAGGGGAGACTTCAAGTATACCACTGGACAGAAGTCTATAGTCAGGAGAGGGGATGGGACTGGGGTGTAGATTTGGGAGACCTCAGTTAATAGGTGACATGAAGCCAACACAGTGGATGAGATTACCAAGCAAAGATGCTGAAGGACAGTGTGATGCCATCAGTGAGTAGAGAGGGGCTTCTGAGGTGGGCAGCTGGGGCCTCTGCTGCAAAGTTCAGGATGGGGACCCCTGGCGACCTTGACAATGGCAGTGCTTTGAGGTGGGGTGTGGAAGTCTACATTAGAATTAGAGGGAATAGAAGGAGCCAGATCACACACAATTCTGTGGAGGCGTCTGCTGTTTGGGTAGCATCAGGGAGGGACTGAGGCTGAGGAGGGTCCTCCCAGGTCATCTCCATCACTCTCTCAAGTGTGAGTCTGTGTCAGTTTCCTGTTGCTGCTGAGACAAATAACCCCACAGCCAGTGGCTTCAAGCAATCTCAATGCATTGTCTAAGAGTTCTGGAAGGTACAAGACTGACATGGGTTTCATTATGCTAAAACCAAGGCGTTGACAGGCAGGGCTGGTTCTTTCTGGAGACTCCAGGAGAGGACGCACTTTTTTGACTTTTCCAGCTCCTGGGGGATCCTTTCTTCCTTGGCTCAGGCCCTTCCTCTATCTACAAAGGGAGCAGCTTTGCACCTCCCAGCCACTCCCTGCCCTCCTCCTTTCACTTGTAAAGACCCTATGATTACATTGGACTCACCCAAAAAGTCCAGGATAATCTCCCCATCTCAATAGTCTTAACTTAGTTCCGTCTGTGAAGCCCCTTTTGCCATGTGAGGCAGCATATTCAGGGGAATAGAGCATGGACATTTTGGTAGCCATCATGCTTCCTATCAAGGGATATAATGTTTTTGACTGGATTTTCCCAACTGCCCCCAACCTAAGGATGAGCTTCCCAAGAGCAGGTGCCATGTCTGAATCAAGACCCTGTAATTCTCTCTTACTTACCCTCTTCTGCCCATCTCATCATAATTCACAATTAGATATTTATTTGTTTGACACTCATTTATTGCTTCCTTTACCAATTGAAGAGGGAGCTACAGGAAGTCAGGGCCCACATCTACCATGTCCACCACTGTGACCGACACTCAGCTCAGGACCTCACTCATCAGGCCTCAGCAGGACACCAGGCTCTGGGGTCAGGAAATAATGACTGGATCGGGTCCTGGTTGAACAGGGAGTTTGGACATGCTATTTACTGTTTTGACCTCAGTTCTCATATCTATAAAATAAAGACAATAATAAAATACCTTCCTCATGGGGTTCTTTGGATAAGTTAATGAGACTAGAAGTATTAGCTTAAAATATCCCAGGGGTACCTCCAAAATGTTGGGTCAGACCTGCCAGGGGGGTGTCTGTGATCCAATGTGTGAGATGCAAAGAATTGCATTTGGATTGGAAAATATAGTTTATTTAGAAAGTAAGTTGGAGCCGGGCTCTGTGGCTCAGCCTGTAATCCCACGCTTTGGGAGGCTGAAGTGAGTGGATTGCCTGAGCCTGCGGGTTCGAGACCCGCCTGGGCAACTTGGCGAGACCTCATCTTTACAATAAATCAAAAAATTAGCCAGGCATGGTAGCGCACGCCTGTAGTTCCAGCTACTTGGAAGGTGAGGCGGAAGGATCGCCGGAGCCCAGCAGTCGAGGCTGCGGTGGCCAGGAGCGGCCACTGCACTCCAGTCTGGGCGACAGAGTGAAACTCCAACTCAAAAGAAAAAGAAAGTAAGTTGGAGAGAGAGAGAAGAGAGGAGATTCACCTCCCCAAGGTAGGGGAGGAGACCAAAGCTAAGAAAACATGGTGGCCATAGTTCAACGTGCACATGACCTGGTCAGTGCATAACAAAACAATGACCAATAGCTACTTGAGGCTGAATGCTTTTAAACCTTCCCTTTTGATGGGGGGCAGTTTGTTAAGGTGAATGGGTCGTGGTCTGTTTCATGGTCTGTTTAATATTATCACGAAGGAGAAGGTAAGCACAGGTACTGACATCAGATGATGGACAGCAGGCAGATGGGTGGGCTAGTCACATGACGGCAGCCATGATATGGGGTCTGTGTCATGAAGGTCACAGAAAGGCTGATTAGGTTAACATGTTTCTTATGCAAATGCTTGGACTAGAAAAACTAATTATTACAAAACAAGCTGGGGAAGGATTGATAAAACAATTATCAATAGCTACCTCTGATAAACCAGTTCTGTCCTTGGCTAGTAATTAGAGGGTAAATTAAAATGAACTGCTAGAGAAATATGACAAAGCTAAGCAATGTAAAAATGGCTGCATCTTATATTGACTCCATCTTATGTCTTTTAAAGTAAACTCCAAATAATATGTTCATTAAGTATTAAATATTTGAAGGAAGCATGAATGAAGGAGAGTTCAACAAAAATGTGTGAGGGGTGAATGGAAGAAGGACCTCAGGGGCATCCTTCCCAGCCTCTGTCTGCTTTACCCTGCCCCCATGTTCTGCTCTGACTCTCTTCTCTCTCCACTTAGGTCTCCTTGGTTAAGCCACAGGCAAACAACAGCCCCCCAGCCCAGCCTCCTCCATCTATGGTCGCCTCCACCTCCGGGGAGGACCAAGAGATCCACTATGCTTCACTCAGCTTCCATAAGATAAAACCTCAGGAACCAGAGGGCAACGAATACTCAGAGATCAAGATCCACAAGGGAGAGGCTGCAGAGACTCAGCCCTGGGTGAGGGTTCACGATCCCTCAGAAACCAGGGAAAAGTCATAGGCTGATTCCTGTGGAACCAAATTCTTCCCAAGCACCTCACAACAGAACAGAACACCAGAGATTACTCCTCCTGGCCAACCCCTTGACCAAGATCTCCCCTTTCTCCGCTCACTCCATCCAGACTCCACCCCAGCCTCTGGTGTCCACCATCCTGCTCTCTTCTATGAGGTTTAATTTTTCAGATTTCACCTAAAAGTGGAATGATGCGGTGTTTTTCTCTGGGCCTGACTTACTTCACTTAACATAATACCCTGGAGGTTCAATCCATATCCTCTCAAATGACAGAGTAATGAATTATATATCTCACTGTGTGTGTGGTGGGCTAGGTAGCTGGAATTGCAGGGGCGAAAGTATTCACCAAGACAGTCAAGAATTAAGAAAGATAGGTTTATTAAAGAGAAGATACTTTGCAAAGGGAACAAAGGGCAAGACAGCAGTGAGAATGTCTAAAAGGAAGTCTGAGGGTCTTCTCAGTGGAGTTTGACATTCTTTATGGTTAGGGTGAGTTTTAGGATGCCCATCATGTGTTTGGGTTTCTGCCATACAAATGAGGTAGGTCTGATTGGTTGATGTTTGGCCTTGATTGTAAACCACTCAGGGGCTACTATGCAAATAAAGCAATTCTGGTTGGTTGATGTTTGACCTTGATTGTAAGCTGCTCGGTTGCCAGTCATGCCAATAAAGCAGTTCTGATTGGTAGATGTTTCACCTTGATTGTAAGCCGCTCAGGCACCAGTCAGAGGTTTGTAAGGCGGCTGGTTGATTATGGACTTCTGTTTCTTTAATATCAATAGTGCCTCATGTTCCTCCACATATCTCCAAATCGCTAGAGAATTTTAAATGTTCTCACCCTGACCAGGCTCGGTGGCTCAGCCTGTAATCCGTGCACTTCAGGAGGCCAAGGTGTGGAGATTGTCTGAGCCTGCAGGTTCGAGACCAGTCCAGACAACTCGGTGAGATCTCATTTCTACAATAAATCAAAAATTAGCCGGGCATGGTAGCACACCCCTGTAGGTCCAGCTACTTGGAAGGCTGAGGCAGAAGGATCGCCTGAGCCTAGCAGGTTGAGGCTACGGTAGCCATGAGCGTGTCACTATGCTCCAGTTGGGCCATGGGGTGAGACTCCAACTCAAATAAATGTTCTTGCCCAAAAGAAGTGATAAATATTTGTGGTAATGGATATGCTAATGATCCCGATTTGATCATCCCACAATGTGTTTTTACATGGGAACATAACTGGGGCTCTCTCAAGGCTGTTCAAGACAGAACTGGATTTTTTTTTCTGAGTCGGGGTCTCAGTCTGTCGCCCAGGCTGAAGTGCAGTGGCATTATCATGACTCATTGCTGCCTCAAACTCCTGGGCTCAAGCAATCCTCCCACTTCAGCCTCCCAGCTAGTTCCCAGCTACTTTTTTTTACTTTTTGTAGAGATGAGGTCTCACTGTGTTTCCCAGGCTGGTCTTGAACTCCTGGGCTCAAGCAACTCTCCCACCTCAGCCTCCCAAAGTGCTGGGTTTACAGGTGTGAGCCACCATGCCAGGAAGATTTGGAATTTAAGCCTGGTCTGATTCTGAGGTCTCTTCTCTCATCTGACATTGAGTCAAGCAACCATTGGTTGGTCACTTCTTGGTCTTAAATTTGTAAGAAATAATATTCCTTGACGACTTTTGATTTTTATTGAAGAGGGGACATCAAATGGCCCAGAGTCTTAGGGACAAGACAGGGCATTGAGAAGAGGAAGGGGGAGACCCCTGGCCAACTTTTTGGCAGGTCTTTATTTATTTGTATTTTTCAAAACTTAATTTTCTATTGCAGATTGTCCATGTGTTTGCTTTTCCTTGAATTTTAAAAGTATCACTTGTTTTTCAGTTGAGGCAAGATTTATAAAGAAACACTCACATTATAACTGTGCAATTCCATGAGTTTTGCCAAACATGTACATGAGTGTAACCAGCATCCCAATCAGGGATACAGACATTTTCCAGCATTCCAGAAAGATTCATGTGCCCATTCCCAGTCAACCCCCAACCCTGAGAGCCACCACTCTCTGATTCCTACCACCAGAGATTACTTATCTGTGTCCTTGAACTTCACAGACTTGTCCTCGCACAGTGAGCCCTCTCATGTCTGTTTGGTTGTTCACTCAGTATTGTGTGTTAGGACTCACCTGTGTTGTCTAGTGTCAGCATTCTGCTCCTTTTTATTGCTCCATAGGATTCCATCGTATGAGTCTACCACAGTTTGTTTACCCAATTTTTTCTGTTCATAAATATTTGGTTTCTTTGTTTTTTATGATTATGAATACCCCTGCTGTGATTGTATTTGCACAAGATCGAATCGAGGTGTATTTTGATTTCTCTCAGGTGTTTGGGGCAGGACCGAGATGGGACAATGAGGTCAGAATCAAACGATGGGTGTTCAAGAGTCTCCAAGCTATCTCCATAGAGGCCAGCAGCAGGGGGGATGGGGGTGGAGAACTGGAGATGGACACTGGAAAACATCAGGAGGTTCAAAGACCCTGATCATGAACACACACTGTTGTGGGGCATGTCACCCCGAAGAGATATGACCAAGTCCTAACTCCTAGTACCTGTCAGTGTGAGTTCATTTTGAAATAGAATTTTTTTGCCTATGAATGTGACTTACTTTTGAAATAGAATTCTTCTTTTTAGGTGAGGCTCACTCTGTCACCCAGACTGGAGTGCAGTGGTATGATCACAGCTCACCACAGCTCAACCTTCTGAATTCAGATAATCCTTCCACCTCAGTCTTCCAAGTATCTGGGACAGCAGGCACATGCCACCACACCTGGCTGATTTTTGAAATTTTTTTGTAGAGTTGAAGTTTCATTGTGTTGCCCAGGCTGGTCTCAAACTCTTGAGCTCCAGCAGTCCTCTCACCTCAATCTGACAAAGTGCTACGATTACAGACATGAGCCACCACACCTGGCTGAAATAGAATTTTGTACCTGCTAATGTGGCTTAATTTGAAATAGGGTCTTTGCAGGTGCAATCAAGTTAATATGAGATGATCTGGAATTGGAGTGGGCCTTAAATGCCATAACTAGTACCTTATACAATAAGAGAAATTTGAACACAGAGACACATAGGAAAGAAGGCATGTGATGACAGAGACAGAGATTGATGTTTTGCTCACATGAGCCAAGGATTGCCTACAAGAGGCCAGGAAGAATCTTCCCTAAAGTCTCAGAGGGAGAATGGCCCTACCAACACCTTGACTTCAGACATTTGGCCTCCAGAACAGTGAGAGAATACATTTCTGTGGTTTTATTTTATTTGGTTTTTTATTTTAATTTTTTTCTGTGTGTTTTAAGTCAGAGTCTCACTTTGTCACTCAGACCGGAGTGCAATGGCACAATTTATTGCCTCGACCTACTGGGCTCAGGCCATCTTTCAGCCTCAGCCTCTTGAGAAATTGGTATTACAGGCGTGCACTGCCACACCTGGCTAATTTTTTAGTTTATTATAGAGATGAATTTTTGCCAAATTGCCCAGGCTGGTCTCAAACCCCTGAGCTCAAGCAATCCTCTCATCTTGACTTCCAAAAAGTGTTGGGATTACAGGCACGATTCACTTCACCCAGCCTAATTTCTGTGGTTTTAAGTCACCGGGGGTTGTGGTAATTTGTGAGGGTGCCCTACCCAGTCAATACACCTGAAACTGATAAGCCTGCTCAGCACCTGTTGTGTGTCAGTTCTGCATGCCTGTCCCGTGCAGGCCTCAGAGTGACTCTCGAGAGGCTGACTCTGCCCATGTCACCAAGGAAGCTTGAGTGAGCTTCTCAGTGCCACTCAGACCAGCGTGCAGAGGGACCAGGTCAAATCCTGGCAGCCACAAAGAGGGTCTTGGCCAGGTGCACTATAATTCCAACACTTTGGGAGGCCTAACCAGGAAGATTGCTTGAGCCCAGGAGCTCAAGACCAGCCTGTGCAACAAAGCAAGGTGTCTCTCTCTCTCTCTCTCTCTCTCTCTCAAATATATTTAAGCCAGGTGCAATGGCTCAAGCCCATAATCCCAGCAATTTGGGAGGCCAAGGCGAGAGGATTGCCTGAACCCAGTCGTTCAAGACCAGCCTGGCCAACTTGGTGAGACCTCGTCTCTACAATATATCAACAAACTAGCGAGGCATGATAGCGCGTGCCTGTAGTTCTGCCTACTTGGAAGGCTGAGGTGGAAGAATCGCCTGAGTCCAGCAGGTCGACACTGGGGTGGCCATGAGCATGTCACGTATTCTAGCCTGGGCAACAGAGTGAGACTCTGACTCAATCAATCAATAAATATAAATATAAAAAATAAAAAGAGGATCTTAATCAGTGGGGACCGAAGGTACACCTCACCAAGGGCTTGCCTTGTGCTGGGCACTGTCCTAACTGCTTATGACCAGGACAGACTCACTGCTTCCTCATCACAGTCCCACAAGGAGGATGTCAGACAGTCATGCAATTCCTAAGGACAGTGACCACTGCAGCTGCTAGATTGGCTGCCCACACCTCCATGGATGCGGATTCAGCCCATAATGCCACCAGGTGCGGAAGCTCATGCCCATAATCCCAGCACTTTGGGAGGCCAAAACAAGAGGATCACTTGAGCCCAGGAGTTTGAGACCAACCTGGGCAGCATAGTGAGACCTTGTCTTTACAAAAAATAAAACTAAAAAAATAAACTGGGCATGGTGGCATGTGCCTATAGTCCCAGCTACTCAGGAGACTGAGGCAGAAGGATTGCCTGAGCTCAGGAGGTCAAGGATGTGGTGAGCTTTGATCACGCCACTGCACTCCAGCCTGGGTGACAGAGTGAGACTCCCAATTAAAAAAAAAAAAAAAAAAAAACCGGACTCCGTGGTTCAGCCTGTAATCCCACGCTTTGGGAGGCTGAGGTGAGTGGATTGCCTGAGCCCGCGGGGTCGAGACCCGCTGGGGCAACTTGACGAGACCTCATCTCTACAATAAATCAAATATCAGCCGGGCATGGTAGCACGTGCCTGTAATTCCGGCTACTCGGAAGGCTGAGGCGGAAGGATCACCGGAGCCCAGCAGTCGAGGCTGCAGTGGCTGGGAGCAGCCACTGCACTCCAGTCTGGGCAACAGAGTGAGTGAGACTCCAACTCAAAAAAAAAAAAAAAAAATGGAAGGGGCCTCTATCTTCTCTTCCCTCTCTCTCTTCCTTCCCACCTTTTTTTTTTTTTTATCTAGTGGAACTGCCATTATCATGAACAAATTTGCTTAGATATATTTTTGAGCACGTTCAAGAAGACAGCTCAGAAAAAAGTTTCAGAAGTGGTATTATGAACTCTGAACCAACTTCATATTGTTTCAAATTTATTGTTTTTTCTGATTATAAAAACAGTGTATGCACTTTGTCAGAACACTTTAGGACACGCAGTAAACTATAAAGAAAAAAATTAAAATTGTGATAGCACTGTCAACACTGAAAGTTTTCCACAATTTTTGTGTTTGTATGTATATATAAATATACACGCTGTATGTATTAATCTATACTGTCAATCAATGAATACGTTTTCCTAACTAGGATCCTTTGAGATGCAGCCCTGCTTCACACGTTTCTAACTTAATACCACGTTGCAAGCACTTTCTGCATCAGGAAGCATCCTTTTTCCCCAGCGTGGCTTCTAAGGGTGACAGATTATCTCAGCGTATGCTGTGTCCCATTCAAGCCAACCCCCAGCTGTCGGGCATTTATAGACTGGTCCATTTCCCTGTCACTGGCAATGTTGAGATGGGGCATCCTTGCAGCATCTCTGATGATTCCATGGTGCCAGGAAAGGAAATGGAGAAGATGGAAATACAGGAGCTGAGCGGGGAAGAGGCCTTTGGAATCCGAAACCAGAGCTCCGCACATGACCCGCCCCTGCCTGCATCCCTTTGGCCAACTCTGATTGGCAGATGGGGTGGCCAATGGCTATGCTGCTCTTGACACCACCCCCAGGTCCCAGGAGGGGGTCTCCAGATTTCTTCTGGAGACTCCATCTGCCAACCTCAGTATGCCCGGGCTGGTTCTCTCTCTTGGCCGTCCCCTCGAAGAGACCCTGGGCCCTTTCCAGCCCAGCTGGTTTCTGTCGGCAAATCTCAGCCCTTCTCCATCACTTTGCCCTCACCTCCTTACCTGCCTGGTCTTGTCTTCCAGCTCTGAGGTGGACACTCATATAGCCCGATTTGTCCTGTGGAGAGAAATCAGGAAAGAAGTCACATCTCAAATCCGTAGGAAATGCGGGAGAGTCCTGGGTAAAGATAAAGGAGCTCAACTTCTCACCAAGCCCAAGAGGGACCCTAGGATGGAGAAGAGATAGATCTGGAGTCTTAAACTCTACACCAAGAGTCCTCAGCATCAGCCATGATTTTTAGGTCAATGGAGGAAGATGTCATTGGATGAGGAAAGGGAGGAAAAAGAGAATGGGTGAACCTGAGGAAAGAGTTGGCACTTCTGGTCTAACAACCAGGAATAGCAATAATAATTTTTTTTTTTGAGTTGGAGTCTCACTCTGTCTCCCAGGCTGGAGTGCAGTGGAACACTCACGGCCACCACAGCCTCGATCTGCTGGGTTCAGCCAATCCTTCCTTTTCAGTCTTCCAAGAAGCTGAAACTGCAGGCATGCACTACCACACTCAGCTAACTTTTCTTGATTTATTGTACAGATGAGGTCTCACCAACTTTCCCAGGCTGGTCTCAAACCCCTGTGCTCAGGCAATTTTCTTGCCTTGACCACCCAAAGTGCTGGGATTACAGGCTTGAACCACTGCACCCAGCCTAACAATAATAATTTATTTCACACCTATTGTATGCCAGACACTATAGTAGATAGTAATTATTTTTAACCCTCATGACAGCCAAGCAAGGTAGATACTTTGACCCCATCTACTGATAAATGGGGGTTCAGAGAAGTGAAACTACTTGCCGAAAGTCACACAGCTAGAACATAACAGAGGCCATTATTCTTAACCTGACTTCTCTAACTCCAGACCTCTGCTCTCACACCAGACTGGAGGACTTGGACCACGGAGCACGTGCCACTTTTCAGAGAAATAGAACAGTGGGCATTGGGTTAGTGTTTGGCTGTGAGGAGTTAGCTCTGCCAGGATAGGGGGAGTTCTCCCAGGTTGTGGAAAAAAGATGACTCAGTGTTCTCCTAGAAACACTCTTGAACTTTCTGGAGTTTATCACAATTGGTTTGGAATTGTGCATGGAATAACATGAGGATATTAATATTAATACCTAAGATTTTACTGCTTTCTTATTCTGTACCAAGCCTTGTTCCAAGTTTGTTACCAGGAAGAACTTTCTTTCTCCCCATAGGAGAGACCCCTGTGAGGATGGTACCTGTCTTATTCTCATTTTACAGATGGCAAGTAGAACACAAACAGGCTAATTTGCCTACGATCTCACTATATTGTCCATCCAGAAGGCACCTTGGTTATGGGGCCATGTAATGTTAAAAAAAAATTAGGCTCAATATCTAAATACTAAGATAACATTTAAAATGTATCTTCTAAATTCTTTAGATGACATATTAGTACAAATACATAAGTGTAGGTTATGTGTTGCCTTAGTTGCCCCTTGCTCGGTCATTTACTCTAGAATATGCCACTCCTGTGTCTTTGGGGTGATATCCAGCCTCAATCGCGATGGAAATTTGACTAACTCCAGGGTGGTCTTTGGGAAGCTGTCAGACACCCAGATATCTGTGAGAGTCTTTGGGGAGTGAGCTGTCACTGGGCATGCTGATCTCAGGTGAAGAAGACTGGATCTGAAAGACAAGGGCTCTCTTTTCCTAGAACAGGTGAGTCAGAATAGATCTATTGCCCTGGCCCCAGTTTTTGTAGGAGAAAGCTAGGAGCTCCTGGCTCTGGAACTCTCCCTCAAGAACCAGCTTTCTCCTTGGCACTATGATGCTATCTGCTGACCCAGCTGGACTCTTGGGTTCAGAGTCTTGCCTTTTAAGGCTCAGAGGCTTGCCTGCCTCCCCAGAGCTCACAGGCAAACTTCGGCACTTATGCTCCATTATAATAATCACGAGTATCATCACCACCAACTCTACATTTGTTACCACCATCATTAGAACAACAGCACGATCAAAGTATCATCATCACTATTGCCATCATCAAACATCACTGTCATCATTAAAATCACCATCATTGTCCAGGTGCAATGGCTCAGCGAGAGGATTGCCTGAGCTCAGGGATTTGAAACCAGCCTGAGCAACATGGTGAAACCCCATCTCTACAATAAATAATAATAATAATAATAATAAATTAGCCGGGCATGGTGGCGGTGCACACCTGTGGTTCCAGTTACTTGGAAGGCTGAGGCAGGATTGCCTGAGCCCAGCAGGTCAAGGCTGCAGTGGTTGTGAGCATGCCACTACACTCCAGCCTGGGTAACAGAGTGAGACTCCGACTCAAAAAAAAAAATCACTATCATTACCATCAGTATCAAACATCATCCTCATCATTATCACCATCATCACCATTGTCACCATCATCATCATAATGCCATTGCCACCATTATTTCCATTACCCTCAACATCATTATCATCATCACCACAGCCACCACTGTCACCACCATATCACTAGCATCACCATCATCACTCTCTCATCATCACCATCACTAATACCACCATCACGTCACCGTCACCACCATTATCACTGCCAACACCAACATCATCACAATCATAACAATAATAACATCACTACCATTATTGCCTTCTTTTTTTTTAGTTGGAGTGTCACTCTTGTCGCCCAGGCTGGAGTGCATGCAGTGGCACACTGCTCACGGCCACCACAGCCTCAGCCGGCTGGGCTTCGGCAATCCTTCCTCCTCAGCCTGCCAAGTAGCTGGAACCACAGGCTTGCGCTACCACACCCAGCTTATTTCTTGATTTATTGTAGAGATGAGGTCTCGCCAAGTTGTCCAGGCTGGTCTCGGACCCCTGAACTCAGGCAATCCTCTTGCCTCAGCCTTCCAAAGTGCCGGTATTATAGGCTTGAGCCACCACGCCCAGCAGTTATTGCCATCTTATTCAACATCATTACTACTATCATTTCAATTACCATATTACCATTGTCACCAGCCACCATCCTCACCACATCACCATCCTGACCATAATCACCATCGTCACCATTATCACCATCAACACCATTATCAACCTCACGGTCATCACCACCATCACTGACATCCCCATTGTCACCAGCATACCTGCTATTTTTAGAACCTACTTCAGTAATTCTCAACCAGGGAGATGTTGCTTCCCATAGGATATCTGTAGTGCCTGAAAACAGGTTTGTTTGTCCAAACTGGAATGGCAGTTGTTGTTACAATGAGCATCTAGTGGGTAGAGGCCAGGAATGCTTCTAATCATTCTACAGTGCACAGGATGGACTTACTGCCTGCCTCTCCACCAAAGAATTATCTGGTCCCAAATGTTGATTGTGCTGAGATTGAGAAGCTCTGATCTACACTTTGCTGATAACAATGCTCATCCCTTCATCCTCCAAGATGTGTCTGTAAGCCTCACATCATCCTGCAGAGCAGGTGTTCCTCTTTGCATCCTCCAGGTGGGGCTAAGGCAGAATTGTGAGAAGTGATCTGCCCAAGATCATTCAGCTAGCTAGGGGCAGAGCTGGGATTTGAACCCAGACCTTAACCATCCCACCAGCCAATCACTTCTCCCTGCATAGTTGACCTTGATGCTGTTTTCCCAGCTTCACTTGGTACCAGATGTTTGACATGCACCTCTCTCATTTCCTCACGTGTCCCTGTAGGTAAACTCAACATCCTTTTTTAAACACAAAGAAACTTGGAAGAGAAGGGAAGTTGCAGGATGAAATCCCACAGCTGTTTAGAGGCACATCTGACTCTAAACTCGTTCTCTCTCCCACCAGCTCCAGTCCTGGAGACAAGCCTGTGTCCTCCAGATGATTCCTGAAAGCCCAGTTCCTGGCTTGTCCCTCACCCTTTGATTCTGCCTCCCCTCTGGCAGAAACACTAATTCTCGAACCCCAGCCCACAGCCAACACCCCACCCTTGACCCAGAGCGATGACGGGCACCTGGTTGAGTAATGGCTGATCAGAGCATGGATCAGGACTCCAGAGAGGTACACGCCGCCCAGGACTGCCACCACGATGAGGAATATTACCAAGGGTTCTGTGATGTAAAAGCCTCTGGGGACAGCAGGGGGTAAGAGCCCTGGAAGAAGAGGATAACTGGGGGTCAGGATCATCATCCACTCATTCCTTCACTCACTCATTCCTTCACTCACCCACACATCTGTTCTTCAAAGAGGTATCAGCACCTACTATGTACAATGCTCTGTTCCAGGTTTTTGCAGTTCAGCCACAAGCAAAACAAACTCACTGCCTTCATGGAGCTGAGATTCCAGCCAGGAAATAGACAACGGATGATTAAGCAAAGAGATATCTAATACTGAAGCAGCCACAAGTGCTACAGAGAAGAATAAATCCACTTTTGGAGGCCGAGGCATGTGGATTGCCTGAGCCCACGGGTTCGAGACAAGTCCAGGCAACTTGGCAAGGCCTCATCTCTACAATAAATGAAAAAATTAGCCAGGCATGGTAGCACGTGCCTGTAGTTCCGGCTACTTGGAAAAATCACCGGAGCACAGCAGGTCGACGCTGGGGTGGCCATGAGTGTGCCACTGCACTTCAGCCTGAGCAATGGAGTAAGACTCCAAATCAAAAAAAAAATGTATAAACCCTTACAAGGGACAGAGAATGGCTAGTCAAGGGTCAGGGATGCTGGTTACAAGGGGTCATTAACTCATTGCACAAATATTCACTGAGCACCAACTACGTGCCAAGAACTGTGTTAAGCACTGGGGGCAGATGGTGAACAAAAAGCTCATCCAAATGCAGCCCTCCTGAAGCTTGTGGTTCAGGGGAGTAGAAAGGCATGAATCAGAGGGTGGCACACACCCATCGTGTCTGGCACGTAGGAGGAGCTTAGCACATAGTGTGTGTGGCTGAAATATAGTCTCCAGTCACATCCTGTATTACCTTGTGCTCTTTCTTACACACTTTCTGTTTATTCTCAGAACAATCCCATTACGCGTGGATTCTTATTATCCTGTCACTACAGATGGGGAAACTGAGTCTCAGCATGATGAAGCTGCTTCCTCCTCATTTGTGTACATGGGCAGTGTCAGAACTAGAATCTGAACCCAGAACACTGGTCCCCTATGTCACTGTGAGTCACCACCCTCCTCATCTACTCACGACCTGAGCGTGTCAGTCTCTCTCCTTGTGACAGAAGGCTGGACATGAGGTTGCAGAAAAGATGCTTTCTTTCACACTCACAAATTCACACCCAGCCCAAGTTTCTAATTCTGCAACCATGACAAGTCTCCACTTCCCTCCACCACCACCCTTCCCTGCGTCTGTCTCGGAGACGGCAGGGGGAACAGCTGTGGGCACAGCCTGTGGGGTCAGACAGCCTGGGTGTGAATCCTGCCCTTTCTGTGGGTTAGAACTGGAAACTTGCATAAAGCACACCAAGTTCATAGGATTCAGTTTTCTTACCTGTAAAATGAGCTGATGCTAATAAAAGTTACTTACTGCTTAGGGAGACTATAAGAGTCAGGCAGGGTAGAAGAGTGGCAAGCACATAGGAAATGCTGGGAAAATGTCAGCTGATTCCAGTCCCTGGGTTTCACCCTGACTCTGATCTGAGGACTCTGGAGGGTTCACAGAGAAGGCAGCATTGGACCTGGCCCCGGAGGCCAGGGAGCTCCATCCAGAAACTGTGAATGTGGCATGACAGGGTGTGATGGCATTCCCGATGATAGGCACTGCACAGGCAGAAGCCTGGAGGTGGGAAGTCTTGGAAAGCCTGAGCCTGGAGGGGGCTACTGCACTCACGGGGCATCTGGATGCTGACAGTCGTGTACAGCGTCAGCTGGGCCACGGGGTTCTCCACAACACACCGGTAACTGCCCGTCTGCTCCCAGGTTAGGTTTGAGAGGGTGATGTTGTCATCTGAGGAGTCCAGGAGGGAGCCGTTGTGGATCCAGCGGTACGTGGGACTTGGGGAGGAATAGGCATCACACTTCATCTCCACTCGGGAGCCAAGCTTAGCAGTCAGGATGCCGTTGAAGCTGTCAGGCTCACCCCACAGCACCACATAGTCGGGCCCAACTGCAGAGACAGGGCAGGCGGCCAGAGCTGTGTTTCTAACCCCTGCATTCCCCCAATCTGCACAAAGCTCTCCCCGAGCAAGAAAGCACCCCTACTCTGCGCCCTGAGCTGATCCCAGACCTGCCCAAGTCAAGCAGTTGTGCCCACAACAGTCACACCAACAAGAGCATCTTCCTTTATCAGGAATCCACTATGGGCCAGCCCAGGGATAACCCTTTATTCATAATAAAATAGGTGTGAGTAGAAACACATTGGCTTACTGCATGCAAGGCACTGTCTTAAGCTCTGCATGTGTCCCCACACTTGTTGAATTCCTGCAGCAACTCATGAAATCAGCTCCATGACTGATCCATTTTATAGATGAAAATAATGAGTCTCCAAGGAAAGGATTAGTCTGCTATTGACACAAAAGGATTAAGCCTGTCTCAGGCCTTGGGGCAATGGCCCTGAATAGCTGCAGCCTCTGAGTCTTGGGTCTCGGCTCCAAACCTCTGACTAGTGAACAGTTGTGTGGGGGAAACTGTCCACCCCTCAACCTCAGCTTCCTCAAACAGTCACTAGAGCCTGTGTATTAGGAAATCTGAAGGGCACAGAGAGGTTCCAAAAGGAAAGTGAAATTAGACTTAGGATTGTTGTTTTCAGTTGAAAGGTGTGAAAGAGTTTGATAGATTGCATGCAAGGCACTGTCCTAAGCTCTTGCCCAATGTTCCAGAATAGTCCTGGAACACTGGAAATAATTCAAATGTCGATGCATTCATAAAACTTACCAGAATTGTGTGAGAATTTGAAGGATCTCATTGTGTTGTTAACTGGCCTTGGTGGGCAGTTGAAAGTTATGCGGTAAAGAGAATATATAAAATGCAAAAATAAATCTTTAAATCAAACTGTCTGTTTAAGAAAGTACAGTTCATCCAATCTGAGTGAAAGAAAAAGTGATGGCAAAGATGCTAAGTTTAGAACAGAATAAAGAGGCCAATGCACAGAATTTGAAGGCTCAAGGGAAATTAGGGTTTTGAAAACTTAATAAATTCATCATCAATTTAAGAATCAGCTGGCTGTTAGCAGTCTGCTTTACACAAAACTCAGACCTCAACAAACACATGCTGACCATTTCTCGTCTGGGAGGGGAGACGAGGGTCCTCATGCTAACATCAAGTGCAGCGAGGTTCTGAGCAGAGAGGGTAGGTCCCAAGTCCACAGAGCTGAGGAGCCCGAGCTGGGGTTGCAGCCCAGGTCATGCTGGCAGCAGGCTGAACCAGGGCATCCCTTCTCTCCAGCTCTGCCTGTCCTATCGCTACATATCTGGAGGGCCCTGAGCCCATCCCCCACTTCTGTCCCTTGTCCCCATCCACTTACAGGCCACGGTCAGAGGGATGCGCTCACTCCTCTGAAAGATCTCTGAGAACTTCTCCACCACGCACTGGAGTGCCCGGTCATAGCGGCTCACCCTGTGGATGACGAGAGTCTTGCCATCGGGAGAAATTGTCCTCCGGTTGCTGCTGGATATCGGCACATCGTTCACGTACCATGTGATGTTGGCGACATTGGTGTGGCACTCGGCAACCACAGAATCCCAGTTCTCCACCACAGAGGTGGCGTTGACTGAGATTCCCGGGTTGCTTCCGAGCTCTGAATGAGGCAGGAAGGAGGTGAGTGTGAGGGGTGGGGTCTGCTTCCCCAGGCTCTGTCCCTCCCTGGTGGGGTTTGGGGGTATGTTGAAAAGAAGCTAAGAGCTCTAAGATGAGGTCTGGGGTCTTGGCAAGAGATCAGCCCTGAAGTTGAGGGGAGCAGAGAAGCAGGAAGAGCACCTTGAGACTGCCGAGATGTGGTGTTTACTGCAATAATGGTGAGCTCTTGGCATAACCACTTGGTCTGATGGTTGCTTCTGAACCTATAACTAGGATCATTCATCCAAGGAGCCATGAAAGTTTCAGAATGAAAAGTAGCATTTGGGATACACATAATAATTGCACCTGTTATTTGAGTCTCCTTCACTTCACAAATACTCCCTCCAACCTCACAACACACCAAAACGACAGATACTTCCCCATTCTACAAAACAGGAAACTGAGGATCATGGAGAAGACACATGGCCCATGGCCATGCAGTATATACAGAGTCAGAAACAAATACAGGACTTCTTGTCTTCACAATTTACTCTCTCCTTCCCTAGCCCATGGAGCCTCCAGAAACTGTCTGTAGTAGACAGAATTCCAAGATGGTATTATGACTTCCAACCCCTGGTGTTGCACCTGGTATCTTCTCCTCTCAAGAGTTAGTGGGAATTGATTTCCTTCTAAGCTGTGGAATATGACAAAGGCTAATGAATGTCACTCCCATCATCACCTTCTGTTATGTAAGACTCTGTCTTAGGGGACTAGAGAGAGAGATACTTCAGCTGACCTTGAGGAAACAAGGTGGTGTGAAATTCCCATAGACAGAGCCACATGGCAGGGAATCACTTCTAGAGCCCTGGGGCCTCCAACCAACAACCAGTACACAGCCTGCTGCAGCCTCCTTCATACAGCCACAGGGAAATACATTGGACCACCATCCTGAATGAGTGTGGAAGGAGATTCTTCCCTAGTTTAGCCTCCAGATGAGAACACAACCCAGACTGATACCTGTGAGACTCAGAAGCCTCAGCTTAACCATGCCTGAAGTTCTGGTCCCAGAAACTGTGTGATAATAAGTGAGTGTTGCTTTAAGCTACTACTTCTTTGGTTATTTGTTAGACAGCAGTAGAAAACTAATAAACATACTTCCAACAACAAAACTGGAGCCTTTGACTGTCGTGACTGTCCTGTGTCTATGAACGAAGTTGGACAGCCACCTGCCAAGTCACTGTCATCTGGGGATGGGTGAGAGACTTGGACAATGTGATCTCCAAAGAATATCACTCCCAAAGCCTTCAGGGCCAACTCTCCTTGGGGCTCGGGAAATGGGCAACCTGCCACCCACCTACAATCTCAAGCCAGCCGGTGGCCCTCTGGATCTCATTGCCAGTGTCCACCCGGATGGTGTAGTTTCCTGTGTCGTTCAGTTGACACTCCTTGATCAGCAGGTCACCTCTGCTGTTCACCTTCTCCCTGCCAGTGTACATGGGCCCGGTCTCCTGGAGATTAGGTGGTTTGTAGCTGATAATCATATTTCCCACGTTGTCGTGTGCACCCCGGTACCAGCTGTATTCCTGAACATTCTCCGGAGCGTTCTCTAGGGCCATGACACCCCGATATCCCTTGATTCCTAGGTATTGGGGGATGAAGATTTGACCTGACGCCTGGCAGACCCCACAGGCCAGCAGACTGGCTGAAGAAGAAAAAGAAGAAAAAAAACATAAAGAGAGTGACACAGATTCCAGAGAGTGCTAGATCCCAAAGGAGTCTCCTGCCTCTCTCCTCCTCTCCATCCCTCACTCCCTGCCTGGTCCATTTTCCCCTTATCCTCTCTCAGCTCACCTTCCTCCTTTCCACCCACTCAGCTTCCAATCCACCATCATATGACAGTTATATGGATCTGAATAAAGCCCAAGCTGTGCCCTCACCACCCTCTGTTCAGTTCCCTTCTATGGCTCACCAGTGCACTTATAATGAAGTCTGAGCGCTTAGGTTGGCCTATGAGACACACTTAGCAAGAGTAGGTCTTTTTTTTTTAGTTGGAGCCTCGCTCTATCACCTAGGTTGGAGTGCAGTGGCATACTCACGGTCACCGCATTCTCAGTCTGCTGGGCTCACATGATCCTTCTGCCTCAGCCTTCTGAGTAGCTGGAACTACAGATATGCACCATCATGTCCAGCTAAAATTTTTATTTATTGTAAAGGTGAGGTCATGCCAAGTTACCCAGGCTGGTCTCAAACATGTGGGCTCAGGCAATCCTCTCATCTCGGCCTCCTAATGTGTAGGATCATAGGCGTGAGCCACCTTGCCCAGCCTAAGAGTGAGTCTTTTTGAATCACTTAGCCTTATTTCAGATTCCACCTACCCTATCTGATTCCCACCATGCGCTCCTTCCTTCCTTCTGTCTTTCCTTCCTTCCTTCATTTGTGTATTTATCAGAAGACATGACTGCCATGCCCAGGTCCCCAGGCATACATATAGCTATCTTGATGCACCATACACCCTCCTACTCCAGGCTTTGCACACACTGCTCCCCATTCCTGACACACTGATCCCTTTCCCCCTCCCCATCTGCATTCTCCTCGCTGACTCTCTTCTGCTTATGCTTCAGGTCTCAGCTCTGATGTCCCTCCTCCCCTCCTGGGTCAGGTGGCCCCTTGGGGCTCTTCCATTCTCCCAGATTGCCCTCATTCCTGCTCTGTCCTCAGGGTCCCCAGAATCTGCTGACAGATCTGTATCCCACCCTGGACTGTGAGCTCCAGGAAGGCAAGTCTGGGCTGTCTCAGTCACCACTGGGTCCCCAGCACTCTGAGCACAGGGTGGACACAGGAGGTTCAGCAATGGCTGTCTGGGTGATCGATACTCCCCCACGACCACCTAGACATGTGTATGATTTTTCACCCAGTTCACTGGAGTGAGTGTGGATGGGCAAGTGTGCTCTGCTCTGTGAGCCCCAAGCTTCGGCTGCATGGAGGAGGCAGAGATGCCTGAGACACAGTTCCAGACCTCACGTGTGAACACTGGATGTGTTCAAGGTCAAGACACATGGCTGCCAGTGTGCATAGTTGTGCCTGTTGGGGGCACAGAGGATCCTGGGGAGGGTGAGGGACTGGGAAGGGATCTGGCCTGAGAGGTGTGGGAAGGGGATGGGGTAAATCAGGGCACACAGGGAAGGCGACTGCAGGGAGGTGGGGTTGGGGGTCCAGCTCATGGCTCCTGGGCATGGATAGAAATAAACGCTGTGTGTATATGTGTCTGTATGTGCTTGTGAGTGTGTGTCCACATGGCTGTGTCATCTGTGTATATTTTTGAGTGAGCGTGTGCTACATCTGTGGGTCTGTGTCTCTGGGTGAGGTGAGCCCAGGGGTGTGAGTTCTTGACGGCCCTGGCGAAGGTCCTGTCTCCATTCCTTCCCCCTCCCCTGCCCTGAGAGTTTCAGGTTGTGCCCCCAGAAGGGTCCTGGCCCATTTCCCACCCTGACTCCCTCCGCCCTGGGGAGTGATCTCAGAGTCTCTTACCCACGAGGACGAGGCCCATCCATGGGCTGCACCTGGGTCTGGAGAGGTCCATGAGTTGCCGGGGTCCTCCAGGAGGGGTGTCTTTCCAGAGACCTGCAGCCTCCTCTCCTTCCACCCCACAGACCTGGGTCTGAGGCCCAGAGCCTGCTGGCCTCTGCCTCCCCAGCTGCCTAGGGTGGCCCTTTCTCCCAGGGTGGACTCTGACCAGCAGGGTGGAGCTCGGGGAGGAGGTCTCGGGAGTCAGTCCTTATCTTTATTACCTTGTGAGGCCTTTAGCTTATTATGAATTCATTTGATTCTTTCCTGGTTATACAAAAACAACACAGGCTCACCAATGGAAAACCGGGGAATACAGAAAAGCACAACAAAGACAAGACACAAAGTTTCTTAATGTACATCCTGCTTCCATTTTGTTTGCTTTTCCTGGTGCCTCACTCAATTTTTAAATTGCCTTGTCCCGTTTTACAACTTCTGGTGTTTTCTCAACAGTGTACTCCTTCCTCACGTCATTGAATATTCTTCCCATGGCTACTTTGAACAGCCGTCAGGCATGAAATTATGTTCCTGAGCCAAAGAATGTATGACTGGCTCTCTCATTGTTGGAGCTTCAGGCTGGTTCTAAAATTCTCCATTAGAGGAGATTCAGGGGTTTAGGAGTGCAGCAGGGGTGAGGGGTTGCTCTGTGTAGAAGAAAGTGGAAGGAGGGGAGCTGAGCTGTGTACACGTGTAATGATGTGTCCACATGTTGAGACCTCACCAAGACAGAGAGAAAGAGACAGAGAGAGAAAGAGACAAAAACAGCAGAGAGGCAGAGCAAAGACACAAGCTCACAGAGAGAGACAGACACAGAGAGAGATCGGACAGAGACAGACAGAGAGACAAAGAGAGACAAAGATGCTGAGACACAGAGAGAGGTGGGCTTATTGAGACAGACAGACACACACACACACACGAGAAAGAGACTGCGCAACTCATAAATGTTCAATCAACGTCTTTCACATTGTGCTTGGGAACATTTTTCTTTCATTTTTATAATAACACAGACTACATTTTTAATTATGAAAGAAATTCGTTAGCTAAAGAAATTTAGAAAAACTTTAAAAAAGAAAAATATAAAAATATTTTTAATAATGGTAATCTATAAATGTATAAACATGGAAGTATGTATATATCTATAATGTATACACATATGAATATTTTTACACAGTTGTATAAACATTGATACGCAGTTGACCTTTGCACAAAATGAAAGTTAGGGGCACCAAGCCCTCCATGGAGTAAAGAATCCATATATAACATTTGAAAACATATATAACATTTAAAAACTTAGCTGCTAATAGCCCACTAAGCTGAAAGTCTTATCAATAACATAAGTAGTTGATAACACATATTTTGTATACTATATGTACTACGTACTGTATTCTTACCATAAAGGAAGCTAAAGAAAATAAAATGTTATTAAGAAGATCATCACAGCCAGGCTCATTGGCTCAGCCTGTGATCCCAGCATTTTGGGAGGCCGAGGCGAGTGGATTGCCAGAGCCCACAGGTTCGAGAAACACCCAGGCAACTTGGCAAGACCTCATCTCTACAATAAAAAAAAAAAAGATCATCAGGAAGAAGAAACATATTTACTATTCCTTAAGTGCAAGTGGATGGTCATGAAGGTCTTCTTTTTTTTTTTTTTTTGAGTCAGTGTCTCATTGTTTTGCCCAGGCTGGAGTGTAGTGGCACACTCACAGCCACTACAACCTTGACCTGCTGGTCTTAGGCAATCCTTTCACCTCAGCCTTCCAAGGACCTGGAACACAGGCATGCGCTACCGTGCCTGGCTAATTTTTTGATTTATTGTAGAGAGGAGGTCTTGCCAAGTTGCCCAGGTTGGTCTTAAATCCCTGAGCTCAGGCAAGCCTCTTGCCTCCACCTCCCAAAGTGCTGGGATTACAGGCATGAACCACCACGCCTGGCTAGTTCTTTTTTTTGTTTTGAGTCGGAGTCTCACTCTGTCTCCCAGGCTGGAGTGCAGTGGCATGCTCATAGCCACCACAACCTCGACCTGCTGGGCTCAGGTGATCTTTCCACCTCAACTTTCCAAGGAGCTGGAACTACAGGCGCATGCTACCACACCTGCTGTTCTCCGTTCTTAATAGGCTGAGGAAGAGGAGGAAAAGGAGGAGGTGGTCTTGCTGTCTCAGGCATATTTCATGGTAATACATGATCAAATAGAATAGTATCTACATCTATTTCATGCATTCATGACACTTAACTTTTTCTTATTTTTTTGATATTTCTAGGCTACATGGTTTATCTGAAAGTTTCTTGAATTGTCACAGATCTTCAAAACAATGTTCAAAACATTTATTGAAAAAAAGTCTGTGTATAAGTGGCCCCATGCTGTTCAAATTCACATTGTTCAAGGATCAGCAGTATTTATACACATATGTATTTTTACATTACTAAAATGTAAATATTACATATATGAAATAAACAAAAAATTATTAAGTATAATGAACTCTACTTTTAAAAATTACCTGTCAAAATTTGAAAAAGAGATACACCTAGTCTTTTTCTATGTTTCTCTTCAGTTGTGATATGTTATATATGGCACACGCAGGCACATATGCATTTTCTTAAACCAAAGTGGAATCATATCATTCAATGTTCTTCTTTATTAGGGTTTCTCAAACATTAAAGCTGAGTTGAGTTCAAGGAGGGTGAGTATACACCTCTGGATATCTAGGAGTTTATGAAATCTCTCTGAAGTCTTTCACTATATCCTGAAAACCCATATTAATATTTGGAGCCTACAGGAAAACACATCTGTGTTTTCTGTAAAAGGAAAATAATGCTTTAGTTACCACTGAAGTAATTTAATTGCCCCACCCTGGTATTTGAGTGTAAAGGATACTCCCAGAAGGCATGCAACATGGATTTCCTGGCTTTAGCTCCTTGGAAGCACTTCCCACCTGCTGACCTCACATCCTAGCCTCCCACAGTGATGGGAGAAGCTTGACTCTGCACCATCACTCTTCATGACTCATGGTTAATTAGTTCATGACTCATGGCTGCATTACTCATAGGCAGAATCAGATTTGAATTGAGTTATTCAATCAATTCTCTTATTTGAGAGCATTAATTTCTTTCCATGTTTTTAAAAGAGGCTTAATTTTTTAGAGCAGTTTTAGGGTCACAGCACTATTGAGCAGAAGGCACAGAGATTTTTTTCAGGTACCACCTGCCACCTGATGTACATAGCTCTCCTATTATCACCATCCCCCCCCAGAGTAGTACTTTTGTTACATGCAATGAACTTACATTGACACATTATTTGTATCCAAAGTTTATGTCAGGATTCACTCTTTTATACTCACTGTGGTATGAACAGCTTTTAGCTAGTTCCATGTGTAGGTCTGTGGTGGATCCCAGAAGGGGATTTGTGTTGAAAAGTATGGAACCTTGTCCAAAGGGAGTTGTGTCCTTTGCTCTCAGCTACTGGGAGGTGATCTCTAAGACCCTGGAATGCCCTGCCTGGTAAGAATGTTTTTGTTGACCTGAGAATATGGGCCCCACTGGATAGTCTACAATGTGATTAATGGTGGGGGCTTTGGGTCACTGGTATCAGCTCTACCTCTAGAAAGGCTGGAGACTAAGGCCAGACAAGTAGAAGTCACCCATATCTAGGTGACAAAGCCCAGTAGAAACCCTGGACATCAGCTCAGGTGCAACTCCCTGGTTGGCAAGACTCCATGTGTGTCATCACAAGTCATGTCAGGAGGAGATACTGCTGTCTATGACCCCAATGGGAAAGGACAATGGACACGCCCTATTTGGAGTGTTCCTAAGCCCTGTCCCATGCTCTACTTCCCTGGGCTGACTCTAATCTCTGTCTTTTTACTGTAGTGAGACACAACATGAAGATAACATCTTTTAGTGAGCTCTGAGTCCTTCCAGTGAATCCTCAAAACCAAAGGGAGTCTGGGGGACCCTAGACATACAGCTGGTATGAGAAGTGGCGGGGGGGTCTCGTGAACTACCCTCTAATTATTCAGGACTGCAGGGTCAAAAGCCATGCAGGACATTTGAGAAGAGAGGGGATGCCTGGCCACACTGCCTGATTTGCACCCAATGTAGCCACTTACCTGCCGTGGGATCTCATCCGAGTTACTGCCCTCCCCTAAGCCTCACTTTCTTCATCTGTAAAATGGGAATATTGAGTGTTTCCTCTTTGTAGGGCTGTTGAGACACATAACTGCAAAATAAATCAGAGAATGTAAAATCCTTCTTAGCTGGGCTCCCAGGTGTCTGAGGTCCTTTGAACTAAGAAAAAAGTGAGGGGATAGATGCTGAGAGTAGACCAACATCCTCTGCACAAAGGGCATGTGATTGGATCCATTTGTAACTCCAAAACGAAGCTACGTTTTATTTTATTTTTAAACCTTGTCTATTATTATTATTATACCAAAAAATTTGTCTTCTTCAACTTTCCTTTTTCTTTTTCTTTTTTTTTTTTTTGAGTTGGAGTCTCACTCTGTTGCCCAGACTGGAGTGCAGTGGCTGCTCCCGGCCACCGCAACCTCAACCTCCTGGCCTCCGGCGATCCTTCCACCTCAGTCTTCCAAGTAGCTGGAACTATAGGCATGCACTACCATGCCCGGCTAATTTTTTTATTTATTGTAGAGATAAGGTCTCGCCAAGTTGCCCAGGCGGGTCTCGAACCCGTGGGCTCAGGCCATCCACTCACCTCGGCCTCCCAAAGCACTGGGATTACAGGATGAGCCACCGAGCCTGGCCTTCTTCAACTTTTCAAATATAAATGTTTATTGTTCTATTCTTCCTTCTAAGTACAGAGTTTACTGTATCCCATAGGGTTTTGCAATTTTATCTTTCCATTTTTATTAATTTATTAATCAATCTCTTTTAAAGTATCTCCAGTGGGCCTGCATTGTGGTTACTGCAGTATGCCCATTTCTGTAGTGTGTTGACTGGTTAGCTCGCGAAGCAGGATAGCAAGCTTGGAGGGTGACTACCAATAGGCCCAGACTACCATGCATT